TCACTGCCGTCTTCCTGGATGGGGAACCCGAGACGGGCCACATCAATGGCTGGAGACATTGTCAGACATGGCCCAGTCGCGCCCTGAATGGCGCTCGTGCATCCAAACCATTGCCATACCTTCCGATTTGCTCACTTAACTGTCCATTGACAGTCCTATATTCACGCGGCAATTTATCAGCTCCCACCTCCAAGTACCTGCCGACTCCACCTCCCCAAATGATCGGCGAACGGAATGTGGCAGGTATGGAAGCCATTATCTGCAAACTCAGCTGCGCTGGTCATTGCCGTCTTCCTGGATGGGGATGTGGCCCGAGACGGACTACATCAATGGCTGGAGACATTGTCAAACATGGCCCAGTCGCGCCCTGAATGGCGCTCGTGCATCCAAGCCATTGCCATACCTTCCGATTTGCTCACTTAACTGTCCATTGACAGTCCTATATTCACGCGGCAATTTATCAGCTCCCACCTCCAAGTACCTGCCGACTCCACCTCCCCAAATGATCGGCGGACGAAAATGTGGCAGCTAAAACCACTGTAAAACAAGTACACGAATCTTCTTCTGATAATGATGGATAGATATTTCGTCCTGTAAGTGGAACCGGTCTCGGCTGAAAGCGCGAAAACACGGGACAAATATTTCATCACTATTGGGAATGATCAGCACTGCCGGGGTCCAGCCAAATTGATCAAGGACGAAATTCTCCCCTTATGGTAACTTTTGCAAGCAAAAACCCAGCTTTGAAACTGTCGTTTATTTGCGCGAACTTACCTGAATACTGTACTGAGGAGAAAAGTAAAGAAAAACGAAGAATGAAGAGGTCTTGTGGCAGCCTCTCACAACTACTCTGACTTTTCTGCAAGTTTCACAATCAGCCAGATAGACTGGATAGATGCACCCACGTCTCCCAAATTCTCTTGTCAACCACGGTAATACTGCTAACATAGTGATGTTTGATCGAACGAACCAGTAGATTTCATCTCCAAGAGAGGTCAAACGTTTCATAATCTCTTCCCATTATACAATCCATACCTTCGCCCATTGGATCACGACATTGTAGATTGCGCACGAGGAAGGAACTCATCTTGGTCTACAATGCCATTGATTTAGCCACCTGGGTTTACGGTACTGGATGCATTCCCAATCTGAGCTGCTTGCCAAGTGTCCAAACACTCATTTTGTAATAAATATTCTTGCTATTGTGTTCGAACTAGTGAAGATTTTGGGACACTGGCAATCAAAGTCTTGAACACATTCCAAATTTCTTGCTCTAAGTGACCGTATCTTAAAAAAAACAAAAAAAATAGCCACTGCATATCGACGCGTCCCTCATCGATGACAACAAAATCAGAAGAGAAAATTTAGGCCTCACTACCACGTCAATTTATTCGAACAGAATGAAAAAAGGAAAAAAGACG